GATGTTCATCGATTTTAACAAGTCATAAAAATGTTTTTTTTTTTAAATCTTAGTGTATACCCCCCTTAATCAAAATTTTTGCCACTAAAATAAAGTACTCAAAAATCTCTCTACAAGACATCAAAATGCTACACTCAATAGTTTCGTCGCAAATGGATATGTCCCACTTTTTTCGATTTCGTCCCACCGTGCAACGAGGGGCTTCCGTGCGCCAAGTTAACGTTGAATCAGGGTCGCAGCAGAAATAATTCACATTTTTGCAAAAATTCGGCCGACATGAGCGTCCATTCACCGAAAAAGGAGGAAGAAGCCGCACCGCTACTGATCGGAATCAGTAGCTCTTCGTGAGTTGCTGTGGGCGATCTATGCCAAGCGCGTCACCCTCGTTCCAAACAACATACAGTCAGGAATCCTTATTGCCGGATTCCTTATTGCTGGGGTAACGGGGGCGTGAATAAGGAACCGCGAATAAGGATACCACAGCTTATGGGATTTTCACTAATAGGGGCTGTGGTGGATTATCTCATTTATTTCAAAATATAAAGCTATACTGTCTTTGACAAAGTTGTTGAACTGGGATAGACCAACAAACTTGGATTCAGATTTAATTGGAAACTACAGCGCAAGAGGCGCTTCACTTTTATGTTACTTATGTCGGGCGCTATAATGTATGGATCTTGCTGTCTTGAGCAAAATTATTCAAGAGACCAAGTCCTTTCGGATGGTGGCCATATTAGTTCAGATCTCTCTCTACGCAGCGCTAGTGTGCACCTGAGCTGAACCTGAATCTCAAAATCCTGACCATATAGAAGGTTACTGTCTTCAGCAAAGTTGTTCAGGTGATCATGTTCTTTTGTATGGTGTTCATATGAGTTCAGAACTCTCTCACTACACAGTGCTAGTGTGCATGTGAACTTCCTATATAAACTGTATCTTGCGAACCTGACAATATAGAAAGTTGCTGTCTTGAGCAAAGTTGTTCAGGTGACCAAGTCCTTTTGGGATGGTGGTCATATTATTTCAGAACTCTCTCACTACGCGGCGCTAGTGTGAACATGAACTTCCTTAATATTTATGTCTGGAAAGCTTGTTGCTGTGCAATTTGAGGACATGAAACAGAATAGGGATGACGTGTAGAGGCTGGAAATCGATTTTGGACGCTATTTTTTAATCCAAGATGGTGGTCATAGATTCAAGAAAAACTGCCAAATACCCTATAATATGGGTATTTCCGAAAATGGAACGACGTGTTGATGCCGGAAATCAATGCCAGACATAATTTTGGAATCCAAGATGGCAGCCATCGGTTCAATAAAAACTGTCAAATACCCTACAATTGTACGGTATTTGACGGCTTTTCTTGAACGAATAGCCGCCATCTTGGATTCTAAAATGTAGTCTGGAATCGATTTCGGACCTCTACACGTCGTCCCCGTTTCGGAAATACCCATATTGTAGGGTATTTGACAGTTTTTCTTGATTCGATGGCCACCATCTTGAATTCCAAAATTGCATCTGGCCAACCTCTATACGGCATCCCCTTTCCGCACACTAGCGCCACGTAGTGAGAGAGTTCTGAACTAATATGAACACCATACAAAAGGACACATGATCACCTGAACAACTTTGCTGAAGACAGTAACCGTTTATATGGTCAGGATTTTGAGATTCAGCTTATATAGGAAGCTCAAGTGCATACTAGCGCTGCGTAGTGAGAGAGTTCTGAACTAATATGGCCACCATTCGAAAGTAATTGGTCACTTGAACAACTTTGCTGAGGACAGTAACTTTCTATATAGCCAGGATCACGAAATATTCTATGTTGGACCTAAGATCGATATATTATAGCGCCTGTCATAAGTAACATAAAAGTAAAGCGCCTCTAGCGGTGTAGTTCCCAATTAAAACTGAATCCAATGACACAGGCTTGTTGGTCTTTGTCGAAGACAGTACAGCTTTATATATTGAAATAAATGAGATAATCCACCACAGCCCCTATTAGTGAAAATCCCATAAGCTGTGGGCAGGCATGGAAAATCATTTACATTCATTTCATGCATTCATTTACATTCATTTGCCTCTAACTTTTTTCGTCAACAGCATTCCGCAAAATGATGTACAACTTTTGTTAAGAACTCAAATCTGTATCTCTTATGCATCACGAATTAGAGCGGGCAGAACTCGTTAGTGTTTTTCAATGAATGTAAAATACATTCACTGAAAAACAGTAGTGGATTTTGTTTGCTTTGGTTTGTCATGCATAAGAGATACGGATTTGAGTTTTTAGCAAAAGTTGTAGCTAACAACAAAACCCACAAAAGCACCATACATCATTTTGCAGAATTAGGTTGATGTCTGCAAATGAATGTAAATGAATGCACGAAATGAATGCAAATGATTTTCCATGCCTGGCTGTGGGTATCCTTATTCGCGTTTCCTTATTCACGCCCTCGTTACCCCGGCAAAAAGGATTTCTGAATTACCGTATGCGTGATAATGTTTGCACCATCGTACAAATAAGGTTCCCGTTTCCCCTGTGCATACAATGCCTTGGTTTTCTTTGCATGCACGTAACCTATAGCACATACCGTAGTAGGCTGTGTATAAATGAAAATGATTTACTTAGTTTGACAGTTGCACCATGACGATGTGGCAGCGTATTCGTGATTTGTCCCACGCGCAGATGTCGCAAAAAGACATTTCAATCGCCGTGGGAGTGTCCCGGTGGACCGTCAAAAGGATTTTAGACTGAGAAAAGAAAGGACAACTATCCGCGAAGGTGGCCACAGGTCGTACGAGGTTAGCTCGGGTTCCGAGGGTTATCGCTGCTATTAAAAGGAAGATTCGGGTGAATCCAGTGCGTCCAATAAGGAAATGGCAAAGGAACACGGGATCAGTGACTTTACGGTACGGTAATCCGCTGTTTTACTCAATATGGCGCGTCATGAAGGCCAAGGTCTGTTCTAAACGCCACCCGAGTACAGCAAGCCTCAGACAAACATTGACCCGTACCTGGAGAGAAATGGATCCAGACTACATTATTAGAAACTGCCGTGCATTCCGGAAGCGTGTGGAGGCCGTAATTGCAGCAAGTGGAAACTCGATCGATGATTAACATAGTTTAAGACTCTGAGAAACATCCCCCCTTTGAATAAATAAAAAAACTCGAAAACGAAATTGTTGAGAATTTTATTAATTTTGACATTGCTCAATGGTGCAAACATTATCACGCATACGGTACAGCTCGCCAGCCTCATCCGTGTTGAACACCCTAATAGCTCAGCATTACTCAACCATCACGACAAAACGGTTCATTTCAGGACCACCATAAATTTGTTAAAGAGTATTTTCTGGACATTAGTCAAAATCGGATGTCGAATTTCAGTTCCCAAAAGTTTAAATCTAACATACCATGTATTTTTAAGGCTACATTGGGGATGCAATTTCTAAAAACCGAAGTGGGTTGCGGCATGAAAGTGGTTTGATTTTGATCCAGAGATGATGGATATTAATTCTTAATACGCCAATCGATATGAAATTTTTCTACGAATCTGTTAAAATTAAGACTATATCAATTTTCAAAAGGTCAGTATTGAAAATTGTACGAATGTGCAACTGTTGCTATGATAGTTAAAATTATCACCGATTACCTGCGAAAAGCGCTTTCCCTAACACAGATTTCAAAATCGAATTCCATCCGGTCTCGCCGGTGTTTATTTAATTACCGCGTGTGGTGAGTGGTGGTGTCTGGTCGTCATTAGCAGCAGCAGTGCTTTCGGTGCGTGGCGTTGTACATTTTTCTCAAGTACACAACGAAAGGCTCCCCGCAAGCAGCTAGCTATCAAGGCTGCCCTCAAAAGCCCTCTATTCACCGAAAAAGGAGGAAGAAATCGCACCACTAATGATCGGATTCAGTTGCTCGTCGTGAGCCGCACAATGCGCGTTAGGCTCTCCTCAAATGTAAGGCAGGTGGTGTTCATTTGAAACGGTAATAAATTTTCGGGGTGACCTTGGATTCACATCCGGTCTTCAGCCAAGATGTTTTCAATACTCCAAAGGTTCTAAATTTTGCACACGAAGAAAATCGACCAACTACTGCGCCACCTAGAGCCGACGAATGCCATTTTGTCGATTTTCCCCATACAAACTTCAAGCCCTTTGAGCGAGAAGTTCCCGTCAACCAAAATACTTCAAATTGTGGCAGGGTGTTTTTGACCCCCCAAACTACCATTCCAGGGGGTAGCCTTTGAAATTCCAGACTTTGACTTGTTTTCCTTATAACGCTGAAACACTCTAATCTCAATATTTTGGCTTGTGAAATTGCAAAATGTAACGAGAAAAAGGACTCAACAAAAATTCACCCCCTTAACATATAACAAAATTAACATTCAACATTATTTTCGCTTCACTTCAACACAGCATCGCCACGTTTGTGGCCCTTCGACTTACTCGTAGTAGAACGTGCAACTACCGGGTTTCTTCTCGATCACCGGCCCAACGCATTGGAACAGGCTCGCTTTGACCTTGAGCCTTTCGTAGTACTCAAGTATGAAATTCTTACTAATAGTAACATCGACATAAGCGGTAGGAAGAAATCATGGTTAGTATGCTAGCATTTCCAGATAATGATTCTGCTGTTGATTGTCCTGTCGGTTGTTTTGATTCGCTCAATGAGTGTTAGGTGTTCGCTAGTTGTTTCTCTACTGAATCGTGCCAACAAATGTGAGACTAATTTTGGATTAGTAGATCAAGCCACCCGATTCGCGAGTGCCAAAAACACGAACGATCGAACGAACGACACGCCCAATGCGAAGTGATTCCGTGCAATATCGAACTACAATAGATGGATGCAAGGGGGAGGGGCTTTGTCCCTAATCGGACCCTTTTCCCCGCTTCGGTAAACGGTACTGTGCGTTATTTTGGGTTTGTGAAATCGAGCAAGAGCGGCATTCGTGTGTGAATGTTTTGAGACAATTTTTGTTTTGACGGTTTTGGCTAACCTCATGTCGTATGTGGAGACGGTCGATTTCTGACTTCTCAGCGACCATGTCGAGTTATACTTTCTGTGGTATTCAACAAGGTTGGTTTGGGTTGAGAGATTTAAAAAAAAAGAGGTGGGTTCAGTGGTTTTTGAGTTTGAGTTTCAAAAATGAACTTAATGTTCTGGTATTGAAATGGGCGTGGACGATGATGATGAGTAAGGTATGCAGGTAGGTAGGTGATCAGTCTGAGTAATTCTCGCACACAGGTGGTCTGTTCATTTCTTTGTTTCGCTAATTTGATTACCCCTCATGTTTAAGTTAATAAATTTGCTCCATTTCTTATTTTTATATTACTTTCGGATAGATTATACAGTAATGACTGGATTTTATCAGCCCCCATTTTGAAAATCTTTTCTTCTTATTGCACCAAAACATACCTTTAACATCCATCTTGAAGATAATTGAGAATGATTTGGAATTACGGTTATGTAAAATTATTGAAAGATAAAAGTCTGATGCGCGGAGGGGCTGACAAAATCGGGTCATTGCTGTATTATGTTGCTCTTAAATTCTATGGCATTTTTCATAAGCACTTTGTAAATTTGTTGTGACATGACACATTTTGGGAGTGTAGCTCAGAAAATTGAAGGGCAACTAAACGAAAGAAAAACCGCGAAAGACCAGGATCCTGTGCTGTGTACTACTGCTAAGCGTACGAAGGAGCAAGCAAACCTACCGTTGTGATGTCGGACTCTTGGGCGGCAATGCTGGACTAGAGGTGCCATTGCTAAGGCCATACGGTGTGCGTGGTGTGACGGGGAAGGCTGGCGTCTCGGGCCGTGGTGAACCGCCGGCCGGTGAGTTGTCCGGTTCCGTCTCCGAGCGGTAGGACGAGAATGATTCTTCTCTAGCCTGTTCGGAAGGAAGAGAAAGAAATCGCAGTATTAATAAATGGTCATTGGACGACGGCAATTCAAATCCGTTCGCTTTTGGGACTTCGTCCCAGATTTCTTATATTGGTACTGAGAGATCTTAATCATCCTGTCCAGAGTGCAACAATTAGTAGGCCACTGTTTCCAGTTTTGAGTAACATATATAGATGTGAGCAATGTAAAAAGCATGCAGAATTAGACACTGTAACTATTGAGGAAATATGAATTGTGGCATGATTGCAAAAAGGTGAGATGAGAATGCATTTTGCTTGGCTATTACCTGATCGCACCAGGAGATGGCATTACTTCGCTCCGAAAGGCTCGGCGAGATGGACGAGATTGTACTATCGCTCTCCGACGCTATCCTCCTTACGTGATTGTTAATTAGAAGGCTACTGGGGTCATTTGTCCTACCATTTATCGGGTGATGGTGACCCGGGTGTTGAAATCCATTTCCATTGACAATGTCGGCGTGCGTCCGGAAGGCATCCCCTCCCAGTTCGTTCCCATTGTACCCGTTCAGTCGTTGAGCTTCGCTCAAATTGTACTCCGTTAGATTGGCAATCACCGCCGACAGTTGCTGCTGCTGATCGATCTTGGCAAGATGCTGTTCGGTAACGTCGTTTTCCAGCGCCAGGGATGCAAGCAGCTTATCCAGCGCCAACTGACCACTGCTGGTCAGTGGTGCGATAGGATCTTCCCCTATCCGGAGGCACTCGTTTCCATCCGTCGGGGAGATGTCCATCGGTTCCGGGATAGGCCTTCTGTGACCATTTTGGTAATGATTCGAATGGGTATGATTGATGAGCCTAGCATGATTCGGTTGTGGTGGTGGTTGTTGTTGTTGTTGTTGATGATGATGGTTGTGGTTAATGGTAGTAGTGGTAGTGGTAGTAGCGAAGGTATTACTAGTAGCAGCGCTTGGATTATTGCTAGTGCTAGTCACGACATTGCTGGCAGCGGCAGGGCTGATGGTGGTCGACGGGGCGCGGCCATTACTTTTGGTCGCACGCTGCACCGCGGCCGCACTGTAGGTTATGTCTTTTAGCAAATTGTTTAGTTTTTCGCTAGTATCGAGATTATTGAGGCTGTCTATGTTACTGAAGATTATCTGTTCGGACTCCTAGAAGTAGACAAGAAAGAGAGAGAGGGAAACGACATGTGGCGACAACAAACAACAACGAAAATGCAATGAAGGTACAAATGAAGGGAAATCATAACGAATGAGAATAACATGATGAATTTGGAAAACAAAAACGAAACACACATTTACAAAGGTGCCAATTATGGTAAAACGATGAAAACACAGCAAACAAACACCAAAAGTGTAATGATATTCTCTCTCTTTTTATAAAAAAAATAACAAACCTGCTTTGTTAAGTGTAAGGAACCTACCAATCTCACATGTCCGTGCTTCGGCGTTGAATGATCATGATCGGCCAGCGAGAGCAGTCCGTTTTGGACCTGGTTCTGACTGGCCACGCTATTGTTGAAACTGACATTGTGCTGTTCGTGATGATGATGATGATGATGGCCATTGTTGATGGAACTACTAGCATTGCTACTACCGACAGTGCTGTACTGCTGCTGCTGCTGCTGCTGATGATGATCAACGGCAACTATGGTCGTCGAGGCGGCGGATGGGGACGGCGATGGGGCTGTTACTGGTGTTGGCTGCGATGGTTGCTGTTGGGCTTGTGCAATGTGACCGTGCGGTGAGGCATTCAAAACGGATAACGGTGCAGACTACGGTTTGAGGAGATGATTTGGTGGTAGAATGATGCGAGTTGCGTGCATGTGTGCGAAACCGTGCAGAGTGTTTTGATTTATGTGAAGAAAATATAACAGGCAAACGGAAAATTGGGGTAACAAACTATCGGATGACTTACTTAATACATATTGTGATAATGATCGGAAAGAGAAGAATTCGCAATGTTCAGCGTTTTTATGAATTTCGAGAAGGTACAGACATTTGTAAGACTTTTTGTTTGCCTAGAATGATGGAGACGTTTGGTGGTTTATTTAATGGAAGATCGGGTTCGTCGCTTTTATGGCCGTTGAAATATTTCCTCATGTTTTTTAGGATTTAAGGACAAGGTTGCAAGAATTCACAAATGGGCGTTGTCATGGGTGATTTTCCTTGAAAAATCAGTCGTGATAGCGGCCATTTGTGGATTCTATCAATCTTGTCCTTTAGCGGAAATTTCGAGGACGCGGGTTTGAATGGCATTATAACTTATGCATTTAACAAACAGTTTTAGACACCTAGGAATACTTAGTAGTGTCTGTTTTTATCTTTACCATAGTGCTTCAACCCAGTGTAGATGGATCGCGTTGTTTAAAAAAAAAAACTTCCCTGTTACGTACGAGCGAAATGAACAAATGAGTTCATTGTACTTCATCGTTGTTGATATTCACCAGTACTTGAATATCCAACCCGAAATTGTCAAAATCAGAAGCGATCTTCAAAAGCAAAATAATGAAATTCTTTTGAGCTCTTTGATCGTACGTTCTTATATTTTTTCACAGAATACAATATCTGAGACCTTTTAAACTACAAAAATATTCCAAATGAACAACATTCAACAAATTTACCTACCTTTCTTGTTCTACGATTTTTGACCATTTTTAACCGTCCAAAGTTTTCAATATTCCACAAGTTTGCATTTTTCAAAGCTTATATAAAAATCAAAAATATTAAACAACGAAATTTTTGATGGATAATGGAAAAATTCAAAATGGACGAATTTTAGCAGAAATGGTAATGATTACCCCCAACAAACAGTTATGCAAAGTTTCATGCACATCGGAGAAGGTCGAATCAAAAATTCATTTGTTTTTGCTATTAGGCCTGGAGCTGCTAAATTTCCTTCTAGTGTTATTTAAAGCTCTCTAATAAAGGCAAGCTCCATTGAGGATAATGCGCGATTTACTCCAGATTTTCGAAAATCTGGATTAAATGTTAATCCTCGATTTGGTAAACACCATGAAAGGATATAGCACGCAGCCATTTGCTTTTGTAGCGTACAGTGTTTATGTGTGTGAGTGTGTTACGTATTAGAATATGAAGCTATTTGTATTGAGTACAGTCTGTTGACTCAACTAGTGAGTAATCGCACGTGAGCGTGCACACACAAGCAATGATGCTGCAGGGGCTTCAAATTGGAAACGAACCAAACAACGAAGACGTCACCGACAGCATCCGCTGACAATGCTTCCGCCGCACGCACACCGACACACTATAGACCAGCATGCGAAGCAGAGAAACCTTCAGAGCAAAAGTTTGCTTGTCCTCGTCCGAATAGCACGCGAAACGGCGTGGTTTGTAGTGCCGTGTGAAAATTCAATTCTCGATTGTGTTAGAGGTGCCGGTGGTGGAAAGAATTCCATTCGTTGTGAGTGCTGCTGTTGGTGATTGGAGCTATTTTCCTTCATGGTGCGGATTGCCGTGGTCGAACCGAGTTTCGATAGTACGCAGGAAGTTCGTGGGGAAAACCCGTTGTTCGGAAGACCGTCCGAGTGCGCAGTAGCAGGTAACCTGCAATAGCCGTTTTCCAAGCAAACCGAATCTGCCGTGCTTTGGAATATCATCCTCTCGAGAGTGGGTGGCAGGATTACCACGCAGATCGAGCCAAAACGCGGATTGGATTGCGGGATTTGACGATTGTCAAAAGGTTAGTCCAGGAAAATGATGATAATCAAATACCAAAATTAACACGGGGGTTTCGATACAGCTTCGCGTCACACGATCGGAACACACCAGTGCACTATTCTTGGAGGGAATCGGTTGAAATCGGTCGTCAACAACGGGCGAGAGAGCGCGGAACTACCCTACCTTTGGAATCCACGGTAAAGTGACTACAGTTAAAATTTATGCTGTGCTGCAACTAACAATGTGTCAAACAATTACACAGATTGGGAGTCGAGCACCCTGACAAGAGACACGTGATTGCGGCAGGTCACCGTGTTGGACAAACAAGTGAGTTTTACTCAACAAGATGGCCGTCAAATGGAGGCTAATGTGGAATGCGTCCCAGGGCTTTTGTTTCGTGTTTTGCAGGTTCGATTATCCCATCGATTCGGAGCGGCGCAGACGAAGGCGGTTCGATCGACAGGGCACGTTTCGGCTTTGCAGCCATCTTTCGAGGGCGGTCTACGAAGCTGCACGTACGACGGTCAGGAACACCGTTGCCGAGGCCGACCAGAAAGCGAGGTTCTTAGCCACCGCCAAGAGACGGTCACTTCGAGGACGAAACGAAGTCGTAGCCCTTCGCGAGATGGACGTTTTGTACCTGGTTTTTACCTACGCGTCGGAGCTGCCCGTACGACGACCAGGAACGCCGTTGGCAAGAGACCGACAAGGAGGCGAACTATAAAACCACCGCCAAGAGACGGCCAGTTCGAGGATCGTGGCGCTTCGCGAGACTGATGCAGCATACGCAATCTGTCGGACCGATAGTTTCGAGTGACAGTCAACGAAGCAGGTCGGCGGACACGACGGACGGGAAGTACCCAAGGGTGCTGCAGAATGGTCTTCGATCAACGGAGGAGGAGACAGCATCGATGTGTGGTGTCGTGCGGCGTCGGTTCGGCGTCTGATTGCAGCGGTTCGTCGAAAATCGAGCGGCGGTAAGGGTGCACCCGACCGGTAACAGTGAGTTCTCACAAGAAGAGAAAATATGATTGGAAAGATAATAGGAGGCACCAAGATGCCGTAAGAGTAAAGTATACTATAGTAGGAAAGTAGAAGCAAGAACAACTCCAATGTAAGGGACCAAAGCCAGGATTCAAAGTATAAGCATAAAAATGCATTTTGGAGTTCATTTTTGGATTTGTTGGAACCTTTGCCCTTTAATGTTTGTGCTTTTGTCCGCCTCTCAGTAATTTTCGCTCTACCGCTACAGGAGCACTTGCAACAATTGTAATCGGTCTCGCCACCGCAACACAGAGAAATAGTCACTTTTCAATTCTATCTACATTAACCGATTTTCACTTTGGATCGCCATGGCCTTGTTGAGATATGTTCTGATATTTTCGACACACGGTTGCAAGAAGTAACAATCTAGCATCTAGTTTTTTTTTAGCCGAGTTATTAACGAGAGTCGATGAAGAGAATAGACCACTAATCTATTTGAAAACTAACGCGAAATTTGTATTTTATTTGTTTACCGTTTGATATCGGAATGTCCGCTGCAGCTCCATGGAGGACTGACTGGATACGGAGAGGTTCTCATAACTTCGGAACATCTCGGAAGGTCTCAGAATTTCTATGAATTTCTTAAAAATTCTCGGATGCGCTCAGAACTTTTCGGAAGATCTAAGAATTTTTCAAAACTTCCCGGATGTTTTCGAAAATTTTCGGAAATTTTCAAAAGATCTCGCAACTTATCAAAAGTTTTCAGAACATCTTGGAAGCTCTCCGAACTTCTGAGAACATCGCTGCAGTTCTTAGAAATTCTAGGAAGTTTTTGGAAACTCTTGGAACTTTCCGAGAAGTACTGAGAACTTCCGAGAAGTTTTGCGAACTTTAGCTATGTTCTGGGAAGTTCTTAGAACTTTCGTGAATTTCCAAGACTTGAGAGAAGCGCTTAGTAGCTCTATGAACTGCTTCCTAGAAGTTCTGATAACTTCAGCGATGTTCTGAGAATTTCTGAGTCGTTCCGAGAATTTTCAAAAACTTCAGAGATATTCTAACAGCTTCCGAGGAGTTATGAAAACGTCTGAGAAGTTCAGAGAATTTGAGAAATCTTCCGAGAACTACAGCGGTGTTCTAACAACTTCCGAGATGTTTCGATAACTGTTGAGAAGTTCTATGAACTGACGAGAAGTTCCAAAAAGTTTTGAGAACTTGCGAAATATTCTGAGAACTTCTGAGGCGTTCCGAGTAGTTTCGAAAACTATTACTATAAGTAACGAGTATTTCCGAAAACTTCAGAGAAGATCCGAGTAGTTTTGAAAATTCTCGATAAGTTCTGTGAACTTCCGAGAAATTCTAAGAACCTCCGAGAATTTTCAAGAACTTCCGATAATTTCCAAGAATTTTCGAGCAGTGCTGAGAAGTTCCGTGAAATTTCGAGTAGTTCGAAAACTTCAGCGATTTCTGCGAACTGCTGTGCTGGCGTGTATTTGGACTCACTGGTGACCGCAGAAAATTATACCAGCAGAGAAGTTCAAAGTCGCATTATGGCAGGGAATCGTGCCTACTTTGGACTCCGGAGGACGCTCCGGTCGAATAAAATTCGCCGCCGCACGAAGTTGACCGTCTACAAGACGCTGATTAGACCGGTGGTCCTCTACGGCCACGAGACCTGGACTATGCTCGCGCCCTTGGTGTTTTCTAAAGGAAGGTGTTCCGTACCATCTACGGTGGAGTGCAGATGGATGACGGAACGTGGAGGAGGCTAATGAACCATGAATTGCACCAGCTGCTGGGAGAAACATCCATCGTCCACATTGCAAAAATTGGGTGACTACGGCGGGCTGGGCACGCCGTAAGAATGCCGCACGACGACTCAGTGAAAATGGTTCTAGAAAGCAACCCAACAGGAAAAAGAAGAAGAGGCGCGCAGCGGGCAAGGTGGATTGACCAAGTAGAAGGCCACCTGCGGACCCTTCGCAGACTACGAGGCTGGCAAAGTGTGGCCATGGATCGAGTAGAGTGGAGCCAACTTCTTCGGACAGCAGAGGACAACAAGGCCTTAGCCTGGTTGGTAAGTAAGTAAAGCTGTGCTGGCGTGGGAGCGCTC